TACTCAATAACTCTGCTCCACATAGCCGTCGACTCGAAATTCGGGGCCAATAACCAGTCCGTCTCAGACCCCACAATCAACCCGATTCTCGTAGCTCTATACGTATTCGGCCACTGGATTCTGTATATAAGCCATAATGCGTTAGAAACAAAGATTAAACCACCAGAGACTAGGCGATATAACACGAGGCACAAGTTGTGATTTGATGGCTACTCGTCTTGAAAAGGCCTAGAAACCGAATATATCTGAATGCAAACATCGAGTAGCATAGTGCCGTAGCAGTGTTTATATACAATATATGCCTTGTGAACTTGCTTCATTAGCTGTTTCGGCTGGTTCAGGTGCACTTGTCCCCCACCCCGTTGATTCTACACTGTTGAATATCAATGAGATACCAGATACTGGCATTTCGTACATGTTACCGGCCAATTGGAATCGTATCGGTGGTCATGCAACCGACCAATTCCCGGCACTACAAAAAGGCTGGGTTCATCCATAACATCTTGTCTAAATTTCACTGAGATTACACGACTTAAATGTCTAATGGACCAACCACGGCGACTACAGAGATATGAGTAGTGCAAATCGAGGGAAGTCGTGGCGTTAGAGCCGATCCTGCGAGCTTGTGCCTGTCAATTCAATCTAGGTGCGTACGACTAGTACAAGATAGCTACTCACAGGTGGTAGGGACGATATAAAGTCAGAAGTGGAATCAAGAACTCTAGAAAATTGCTCTAATTTCCTCTGAACCACAAAAGGTGGATCAGACTTCATTTAGCATGCCTTGTGAACTTGCTTCATTAGCTGTTTCGGCTGGTTTGGATCAGATATGCAGGGAAATACTATATCCAATGCTATTGAAACCAATGATTATACTCCTACTCGGGGTGGCGAAAGCCCCGCGTATGCAGTCCAGAACGTAGCCCCCGCCTTTTCCCCTTCACCGTTCACCATGAACGACACGTCCCATCATTGTCTCTCAACTTCAGAACATAACATAACCTTTTCATCTTCTCAACAGTATTCTAAGGTGCCAGACTCATATGATCTCCTCGGTCCACGGGGTGCGCCCCCTCATCAAACGCTCAGTGAGGCGAATGAGCCAGTACTGTCACCAACACTCTCGACAATAATTGGACCCCCAGTTTCACCAAAGGTCTGAACGAAATTGATACAAAGCAGTCAGCATCTTTTAAGATCACATCCCGATTCAATGACCAGTTATCTAGGGCCCACTTCACTG